TACCAGATAAGACTGAAATTAATTTGAATGTGGATTTAAATATGACAAGTTACAAGAATTATACGGAACAAGAAGATATACTGGACGTACAAATGAAACAGGATGATACCTTAATCATGAAAGGGGATATACAAGTATCAAACCAGAAGAATGATTTGGATAACCTTTTCCTACTGGATGTACAAAAAAGATCTGTTAAAAGTCTTGAATGATTCTCTGAGAAGGGACAAAAAAATGAAAAGAAATCAAGCTTTAGGACATTATTTGAAGGGATTAAAAACCAAGATTATTAAAAGTATAGGAAAATATAGAGTTGGTTTATTTGATCAAGGTTAAAATAGATAAGTAGTTATTTCTGGTAACACTTAATGGACTTTTGCTGATAATGAGGAGGCTTTTGGATTTTGTTTATAGTTAAGTTATAGTTAAGAAATGAGATATGGAATGAAGAGAGTATCTGTTGTATTTTGAGAGATGGTGATAAATTACTAAAATTGTTTATACTTGTGATAAAGGGGGAAGTTACTTCTTTATATACTTTTATTTTTTCTTATTTTTTCTTTTCTACACTTTTTGTTTTATTTTTATTCTTATATTTTTGTATATTTCTTATACATACATACAAAAGCCTCTTCTGCCAAGTCCAATGACTACCCCATTTTCTTAGCATAGAAGCTGGAGTGCCAAATACTCTGGTTTCTGTATGACAAGGGATTATGGTAATTAGGCCAGGGCCTTTCAAGAAACCATCCTCTCCTTGAAGTGCCCAGTGACCACAAAGCCTTCTCAGAACAGAAACTAGACTTTTATTGTGCTATTGTGTCACTTTTCTAGCTCATTTCAATTCCATTCTCATATGGAACCAAATATGTGAATTTTCCAGCTATGCACCCAGGAAATTTTTTCTTAAATGCTGTTGCATTAAAAGTTGAAAGCTCAGAGAACCCCAGGGACTCCACTTAAAAGGTCATATTTCATAAATAATACTGAAATCATGTCAACAGGATTACCACCATTTGCAGACAAGCCAGAGTGACCTCATTTACACACAATACTAAGCCATAATTGGTGGGGCTACATCATACAACATTGAAAACAATAATATCTGTGAACCAAAAGAGTTTCAGGGAGAGACTTTAAAGTACTTTGGAGGAGCAAGGTAAAAACAGCTTATATTCTATAAATATAGTTTATATAAGAAATATCAATATAAAGTATATATAGAAATTAGTCTTAATTTTCCATTATTCTAATGCAATGTTTTTATGTAATTTCTGTGACCTTTGATAGTAATCACATTTCATTCACAATAGCTGTTTTCCTTTTTAATTATTCATATAAGAATAAGAATGAAAACTATAACTCAGATTCTTTAAAAGATATGAACGGTAAAGGATGAAACCTCCAATTGAAAAGATTTAGTTTAATATTTTATAGGTAAGGCTTAAAAGATTTTTGTTCAAATTTCCTTTCTGTTCACAGTTCCCATTTTACACACCCAACTATAGATGTGTATAGTCTCCCGAACCAAGGCAACACTTTATGAATCTATAATGAAGCAGATCATTCACTAGAAAATACTGTAATTACTGTTAGTTTGTAAACTATCCCATTATTTTTTTTCCTCTCTAATATGGCTCAGTGTTTGTTGTTTTACTACAAGAAGATAAATATACTGTTGAGTTCTCTCTCCCACAAAAATCTTAATAATTTGGGGGCTTTAAAAACTATTTCCCAGAATTGTATTAAATTAATATTAAATTTTAACATCCCAACTGTTTTGATCAACTACCTTGCTGGAATGGTTGACACACTCACAATCTGCTTTTGGTTATTTAGACTTGCCTAACTGGTGTTGGCCCGTAACAGATATTTATAAATAAGCGTAGAAACCAACTCAAAACTACATAATCATTAAATGCAAAAATGAGTGTGTGGGATCATATATGGTCTGTGTGTCAATTGCCATATATCTGGAATCCAATTTCTACAGATGCTTTTACATGTACACCTAAAATGTGTATGAGCCTGTGATTTTCCAAGTGTGAGTAGACTTTACCTCTTATAATTCCTAGAAAGGATAAATTTGGAAATCTGAATAGGTCCTATAGTCCTCAGGATCCTGAAGATCCAGATTCCCAATAGCTGGTTTATAGGCAATAATGGACCATATCGAAATCAGGGGAGGAAACAAATGTATTCATTTGTACACTTAATAAAAACCAACTACATATATCAAATTTCATAATTCAACCCATTTCAAGCAAGACTGAAAAAGTCTCATTAGGAATTTTGGAAAACTGCTACTGATCAGAGGAGCTAATACTGAGTTAGATCCAGTGATATGAGTCACTATGAGACAGCTTCCTATATATTTAGTGTCCCCGTCACTGTGTTCATGCAATCATTGATACCACAATATTTCAAATCCTTTGAAGAATGTGCATCATTTGCAATTAGATATGCATTTAAACACTTCAGTATAAGCAGCCAAGCAATTATGCCAGGAAGTGCAGAATCTGAATTTGCAACAAACTGAAGCAGCATAGGCAAGGATGAGGGATGCTGGGAATTGTAGTTCAATAACTGAAGAACCCAAGCTAAGCTATGGCTTCATTCTTAAACAATGTTAATACTGATTTCACAGGCTGTCTTTTAAAGTAAACATCTAAATTAATTGCTCCATTTATAAGAAGTTACAGGGGAATAAGTGTAATTTAATGAATTTAGGCAGCAGGGCAATTCCCACGATAGAGTAAGTTCTTGCTGAATAAAGGACTATGTATTAAGGCTGTATAAAGCATGAAAAAGAAGTGGTTTGCAAGGTACATTAAGAATATACCTCCTTTGCAAGGCTCAGATAGCTGCTTCAAAAACTGAACTGAAAAGAAAGCTCCTCCCTCAAATTCTATTCTAAACCCTGAATTTATTTATTTATTTATATATATATATATATATATATA